GCCAATAATCCACATTCTCTCAATTGAACTGGATTATCTGTGTCTACACTGCCGTATAATCCCATTCAAAGCAGATAATCTGGATTTTATATGGCAGTGTAGAAGGGGGCAGAGAAAAAAAAGGTGTAGAAGGGAAGCGGAGGAGGAAAAGAAAGAGTAACAAAGAAAATGGAAACATGGACAATGTTGGACATATATGCTAGATGTACAATATAAAATTAAAGGTAAAGGTTGTCCCCTGACATTAAGTCCAGTCATGTCTGACTCTGGGGTGTGGTGCTCATCCCCCATGTGGCCAGCATGACTGCATGGAGCGCCGTTACCTTCTTGCCGGAGCGGTACCTATTGATCTACTCACATTTGCATGTTTTCGAACTGCTAGGTTGGCAGAAGCTAGGGCTGACAGCGGAAGCTCACGCCGCTCCTTGGAATCGAACCTGCGACCTTTCGATCAACAAGCTCAGCAGCTCAGTGCTTTAACCCACTGCGCCACTGGGGCCCCCAATATAAAATTAGTTGCCTGATAATGTGCCCTTGATTTGTTATACAAGTGTCCAATTAAAACATTTATTTGATAGCAACACAGAAAACCCAACTTTAGGAATCAGGAACTGGAATTGCTGCAAGAGAGTATGAAACCTTGATCTATGAGTGACGATCACATAGTTGACCTTCGCTTTTGAGCACTGACAAGGCAACATGCCTTCCCAAAAGCAGATCTGTTTCAGGAGTTGCAAGGATGCTCCTCTGTATGCTCCTCTGTCTGGGCAAACATTTACCTGTGGCTCAAAAGATAGCTCAACTGCAATAGCAACCTGTGAGTCAGATGGCCAGGTGATCTGAAGGACTGCATTGTGTTGTTTCATAAAACTATGATAAATATGTCATAACTAAAGTTGCTGTTAAATGCATTTGGCTTTCTCCCAAATACGCATCCGAATATAAATTAATCAAATGATGGCAGACAGAAAAATGATAGAGATAGATGATAAATGATAGTCTTTTATGTTCAAGGAGCGTATTTTGTCATGGAAGGAAAGTCAAAAAAAGTGCATCCCTATTTATAAAAATTATACCTCAAATTGAATTGTTTTCACTGAACCCAAACCATGTAGAGCTTTAAGTATCAAAAACAACACCTTGCATTTTGCCCGGAAACGAATTGGCAACCAGTGGAGTGACTTCAGTATAGGCGTGATATGAGGACTCAAGGATGTTCTTGTAACCAACCTGTCTCTGCCATATATTGAACCCACTGGAGTTTCTGAACTTGGTACAAAGATAGCCCAAAGTAAAGCGCATTGCAGAAGTCCAACATTGAAGATACAGCGCGTGCACTACCATCTTCAGGTCCTCCAAATCTGGGAAGGGGTACAGTTGGCGTATCAGCCGAAGATGATAGTAAGCTTTGGCTGAAATGTGTGTAGGGGTGTGAGAAATAACTGCAATGAGAAATAACTATTGGGAGTTTGGGGTTATAATGGTAATCAGTAGATTAAATGTAGATTTCCAGGTTCTGCTTCTCACATGCAAAATCCTCTGCGGCTAGATCTATACTGCCATATACTACACATTATCAAATCAGATAATCCATATTGTCTGCTTTGAATGGGATTATATGAGTCTAGACTGCCATGTATTCCAGTTCAAAGTGGATAATCTGGATTTTATATGGCAGTATAGATCCAGTCTGAGACAACCCTATTTATTTCTTACAGGAACAACAATGCAGTGTTTTGTGATATGCTAGTTCACTGCTATCCAATTCAAGGTGCAGATGCTTACCTACAAAGCCCTAACCTGTTTGGGACCTGCCTACCTGCGTGACCACATCTCCGTTTATGAACCCATGCGCTCCCTTCGTTCATCCGGAGAGGCCCTGCTCGCGATCCCACCTGCGTCGCAGGCGCGTTTGGTGGGGACGAGGGACAGGGCCTTCTCTGTGGTAGCCCCCCGACGTTGGAACACCCTCCCCAAAGACATTAGACTAGCACCACGTTGGCAGTCTTTAG